GGAGAGTAGGTTTCCCGAAACGAAATAGCGATATACAAATGTCACAAGTTCTTCATTTATATTATCTACTATTCAATTGGAGAATCAAATTGAAAGGTATACACTCTGATCTGAATCTCAGACCATTGGACTATAGAAAAGTTTGAAAGTTTGATGTTTTTCTCCAATATTTATATGTTCAGAAATTGACATACAATGATTCCATTTCTGCCTTATAGAATCTCCGAGAATAGATTCACCTATTATACATTGAAAACATCGTTATATTCACATGTCTGATGTTTTGTTATATGATTTTTCAACAAAAAGAATGATATATACTTCTTTATCTAGATACAATCAAATTATCATGTCAATATCTTCCTGATTCGGATCAAACAGATTATCAAACACAAATACTACAAAGTACGAACCTTTCTCAGCCCTCTAGAATTCTTTATAAAACAGTTTGAATCAGATTAGAGCAGGTATAGCAAGGAATTTCTATCGATTCAACTTGGCAACAATGCGCTACCGGTTGTTCCGAGTCTCCACGCGTCTCACACATTCTGGTATATTGACGGTCTGTCGATGTACGGTTCTGATGTTTTACGGGTCTGTCAATGTACGGTTCTGCCATTTTACGGTTCTGCTATTTCACGGGTCTTAATCCAAAAAATTCTGAAAATTTACGGGTTTGGTAGCTGCACGATTCTGCCATTGTACGGGTCTGTCATTTTACTATTCTGCTGTTTCACGGGTCTGTCGTTTTACGGTTTTGATGAATTATGTATCGAAAATTCCGGTAGTCCGATGGATTATGAGTCTGTCGATGTACGTTTCTTGCATTTTACGGATCTAGAGTATTGGCAGTCTGTGCTTTTACGAGTCTGTCATTGTACGGATCTTTTATTTTACGGGTATCAAAAATCGACAGTTTGTCTTTTTACGGGTATGAACTTTTCGCATTCTGCCATTTTCAGATTCTGTACATCACAATTCTGCCAGTTTGCTGGTCGGGAATGTTCATTCTGATGAAATGGTGGTCTACAGAGTACGGGTCGCTGAATTACAGTCTGTGCTTTTACGGTTCTATGACTTTACGATTATATATTTTTATGATTCTGACGACATGGAGAGTATTTTATTTACTGGTTTGGCAAAGTACACTTCTGAATATATGGCAGTCTTTCGATATACTATTGTGATTTATGCATTCTGACATAATGCAGTCTGTCAAAGTACGGTTCGACAAATTACGGGTTGTACATATTGCAGTCGCTGAAATATGGTTCTGATGATTTGCTATTCTGATTTCTTACTATTCTAGTCAAATACATTCCAACTAATCGACGGTCTGTGTCGATACGTTCTGATGATGTATATGGACCCGGGAAGAAGTTGTTCTCTTCCGTCTTCTAGCATTGTTGTTTATTTTCTGAGCAATAATTGCGAAATTCACTTCGAGGTCTGCATCTATTTATTATCTATTGGATTTCTCGTAGTTGATAAGTATACAACAGCCTTCTAGTTGACAACTTCAAATTGATATTATTATTGAATCATCGTTATTGACATCACAGGAAAAAGTGTATTATGATTACCTGAAAAAAATATTGAATTTTAATCTTTGGTAGAAGTCCATATTGCTCAAAGTGGAGTGAAATTTTTCAGAGGACTTCGAGCATTTCTTCCTTCCTCTCATTATATTTCAGCTCGAGAGCCTCAATCTGATACCGTACTTATTACTCATCCGCATTCACAAATACAGATTTCCATGTTGATTTATCAAATATATGTGGTATCAAAATAGTTCGAGTATTTCAAAATCAGGGAACCGAGACCTACGTGACAGGACAATCGGTATACTTGATATAATCACTGCCATTCGCCGCTCTTTAGGCTTTCGCATCGTATGTACAGGGTCTTCACGTATATTTTCATACCCCACTTAACTATTTTATTTATTGTTGAATTTTATTTCCCAAGGAACGTTCATAGTTTTTTTAATAGGACATTCTGTATTTCATTGCATTTTAAGATTTCCCCTAGAGAGCTGATTCCATCGATCAATCACAGTTGGGGTCTAGCTGAAATGATTACAGAGATATAGGGTGTGAAAAATTGAGATTTTTTCAACTTCAGGAATATTTTGTGTCGAAACTATTCATTATAGGTCAAAACTGATCTAGAGTCCCTGACTCAACTTTTGATTCACTATCTACTGACGTTCAATTGAAACAAATACAGGGTCATCAGAATTCTAGATTTTTCACTACCCTTCTTGAATAGCTTCATTATGAAGTTTTTCAGAAAGAATATTGTCTATCGAAACAACTTCATGATGAAGCTATTCATGAAGTTCATTCTACCATCAAAAACACGTTGGGAATAATAATTATCAGCTATAATAAAGACCTTCAAATTCGAAAAATCAGGAGTATACAAACTCAACTGTGGATCTTGTCCTGGGGTATATCGGACGTTCAATCAGCGCATTCATGAAAATAAGATGAATTTTTTGAAGAAAGAAAAAAACAAATTCAACATACGCCAACCATAAATGAGGAGAAAACCATAGTTTTGATTATCATATCAAGATTCTACACGTAGAAAATAATGGAATAAAACTCAATTATTCTGAATCATTAGAAATCAACAAACTCAAAAATTCTGACATAATATAACTTAACAATCAATTGGGCCTCAATAGTTCACCACTATTGAATTTGTTTTCTGAGTAGGTGATTATATGTATTCGGTAATAACCCTTTCAGGTAAATCTGATACACCGTATTTCAATGTAGATATGTTGCCTTATTTCCGGAAATGAAGGTTTATCGAACCTGTCCGCAGGTGAATAATCCTTCAGGTTGGTAAAGTAGGATATATAAACAAACCAAGGTGAGTGTAGTTCATCGTACCAGTATATCACCAGACGAAACATGTCGTGTGTTTGAGATCACGTAGGAATCTTATCGTATGTGAAGTTTTAACATTTGTCATGAATTTCCATCATAAGAAAAACTCATTCAAGAATCAAATATCAGTTACAAGCCCTGTTATCAGAAATTTCAACTCAACAATACAAAAAAAGCAATTTGATAAGATGACTTTCAACGATGATATACAAGCAGTCCAGAATTCTCTTATGGAAGTCCATGACGAAATTAATCTTTCGAAATTAAAAATAAAACTTGCTGAATAGTCATGAAAAGTTATATTTTCATTGAGGAAAGCCTAGGCGATATTTGAGATTCAACTTTTGCAAGGCTCTTTACATACATTATTATTCATGCCGGAATTATAACACCAGAACACTTCGTAAAATCGCATTCAACGAATAACTCAAAGATAATATGAAAGCGTTGCGCCATTGCCACCTCAACTTTCGAGTATTTTGCAATAATTGGAAATCATTGAACTCCAGGCATTCCGAATTGATAATAACATTGGTTTTGTATTGAAAATACCTTCAACTGAACTCCAGACTCATACTACCCAATACCTGTATATGATAACAAAAGTGGGCTCCACCACAATGTCCCGATAGGTCATGAAAAGTCGCAAAAGATGATGATTCCTCAATGTATCTTACCATCGCGAAACCTTCAAGATGCATGCGGATGATGATTTTTCAGAAACAAAGCGAATACATATTTCCATTCCTGATTGGTTGTACTCTCAGCATGCGGGATAAGACCACTGAAGAATTCCCAGAGAATTCCGGAGCATTTCAATATACTGTATACATAAATATACAATATGCAAATATAAAAAGTGAACTTATGGTTAGTAATAGTCGTAGAACCCTTGCATTTGAAAATCACCCGTCCAGACAGAAATTCGAAAACATAAATAATTTACAAGAACTCTATTCAGAAAATTCACTTCAGTTGCAATGCATTTGTAGACGTAACTAAATACAAGCTTGTTCAAGAGGAACTTTCAATTTCTCGTACAATACACACTCTGTATTGTTACTCTATCTATGACTGTTGTTTAGACGTTCCACATGAATTCCACCCTCTAGAGTTGAAACCCTTGGTAATCGATAACATTGATGCGGATGATTTAGTGATAGCCCAACACAGGTTGGACCAATATTCAAGAGACCTCGATGACCTGATCAACGAGCCCTCCGTTTCCAAGCACATTTCATGGTTAACCCACGTGACAATCACCGTCGTAGTTGGACTTACCCTTTTATATCGCGGATCGCTGGTGGTATAGGCAAACACTCGTTATTTCGATTCTCTGTGCTGATGATATCAATTGTTGATAAATACAGCTACAAAAATTTTCTTGTGAGTACTAAGTGATAACATAGTTGATCCAGCATCTCATATAGTGGAAGTGAACTGTAAGTCATCTGATTAGTATCATTACCTGCATGTTTACATTCGAAAATCTCCAAACGTTAAGTGATAAAAAACAACCCAGCCGGCTAACATCGTAGGTCGAACATCTATCCCACCAAAGGTCACTAAATCTTGTTCAGATATGGTTGGCGATGATCAGCTAACAAATAACCAATTATTCTCAAAATTACTACAAACCATCGAGAACGGAAATGAGAGGGTTAAAGTTGAATTGATTAAACATATAGATTCTGAAAACCAAAAACTGGTAGATATTATCGGTGCTCAGAATAGGAAAATCTCTGAACTTGAACAGAAGTATCGAAATATCGCTGAAAATTATCTTGCTCTGGACAGGAGATCCAGAAAAAATAACATCATTGTATATGGTTTAGAGGGTGATTTCAGTTCTTTCAGTGCAAGGCCAGTTATTGAAGAGATCAACTCTTTGTTAGGCACGAATCTATGTGAATCTGACCTCAACAATATATTCCCTCTTAATAATACGTCTAAACCAGCTGTCAAAATAGAGTTCACCTCTTATTTGAAAAAAAAAATACAGTTTTCCAGAATATCTCAAAATTGAAGGAAAGCAACATCTCTATTTCACATGATCTTTGCATTGAAGATCGACTGAACAATAAAATTTCGGTGAAACATATGAAGGAGGCCCGTGAGAAACATCTCACTGCAAAAATAATCAATCACAAACTCATAATTAACGGCACAACCTATACTGCAGACGAATTAGAAAAAGGGAGTGAAATTCCACAACTTGAAGCTTCGTATAAAAGAGGACGAGAAACGTATAGTGCTCCATCAACACCTCCACATTCTTCACTGAGTCTTCCACATACCACTGAAACTGTGAATATTGAAGAGGTATTTGAACCCAATACACTCAACACAACGATTAGACCACCTCTCAAGAAAAAAAAGGAGCAGAATATAGTCATTGGGCCGACATCTGAGAGAATAACACGACAAAGTTGTTCATCTTCGAAAACAAATCCCGCTGTTTAGTTGCTCATCTTCATAATTCCTACTACTGTCTATATTCTCCTCACCTCATTGAAACTTACTCTGTTTTGTTTTTATCATATTATCATAAAAATATATTCTTTCATTTTCTTTTACTTTAACTTTTTGTAATGAAACTCAAAATATGTCACTTGAATATGAGATCACTTCCTGCTCACTTCAATCAACTAAATGCTGTATTAACCAGTCACCATTTCGATATTATTATTCTTAGTGAGACATGGTTGAATAGTTCAATAAATTCTGTGGACATTAGCATAGAAAATTATGTACTGGTAAGAAGAGATAGATCTGATGACAGTGGTTATGGAAGTGTAGCGATTTATTTGAGAAACTCCATCAAGTATTCTGTTCTTTCGTTGAATGAAACTATCGAAGAATTGTGGTTGGGCATAAAATTAAAAACATTCAATCTAGCACTGGGTTGTATCTATAAGCAACCGAAACTGAACACAAATAATTTTCTGATTGAATTTGAAAACAGTTTATTCTCAATTCTGCCTGAATATGATAAAGTGATATGCTTGGGCGATTTCAATATTAACCTTTTCGATATCGATAACTCACATACTCAAAGTTTCAGTGAGCTGTTGTCGAGTACGGGGTTGCAGCAGTTGGTTGATTTTCCAACAAGAATCACTAGTAATAGTTCCACCCTGATTGACCTCATCCTTGTCTCGGAAGAGCTAAACGTTACTAACTTCGGATCGCTACATGTTCCTCAAGTATCCGATCATGAACTAATCCACATCACTCTGGAATTAGCGGAAGATAATGTTAACCCCACACCTACAACCTACAGATCCTTAAAAAATATAAACTTCAACCAACTAAATGATGATCTACGCTCTATTCCCTGGAGGAATATCTTCCACCTAGATACCACCGATGATAAAGTTGACTTTTTTACTGAAAATTTGAATTCTCTACTGAATCTTCATGCTCCCCTCATCACTAAAGTTTTCAAGAAGAAACGTAATCCATGGATAACCCATAACATTCTTCTTATTTTCAAAGAAAGGGATAAATCACTTAGAAAATTCAAAAAAACTAAAGATCAACGACACTATGAGGAATATAAAATACTTCGAAACTTTGCTAATCGATCTGTAGAGCGAGAAAAAAAGCATACTTGCAACATCATGTTGGAAGAAATATTCAAAACACTTGGGATACTATGAAAAAATTGAATATTTATATGAAAAATAAACATCCTGCAGTTTCTGCACACCTATCTGATGTCAATGAAATAAATAATTATTTTTCATCCTCAATTCCTCAGGTATTACCTACGAATAACATAGATACATACTACAGTGGACATAAAGCGGGACTATCGGGTAACTTTCAATTCACAAAAGTTGAGTCAAGTGAGATATATAGGCAATTGGAAATCATAAAGACAAGAGCTACTGGAGCTGATGGTCTCAGTATTGACTTCATCCTAATGTGTTGTCCGTTTATTATTGACTATATTTTACACAATATAAATTTCTGTATAGAGTACTCTGTATTTCCTGCTAAATGGAAGGTGGCTCATGTAATACCGTTACCAAAAGTAGACGTTGTTAGTGATTTCAAAGATTTGAGACCTATAAGTATTCTCTCCACTATTTCAAAAATTCTAGAAAGAATCATAAAAAAACAACTGGTTGAGTACTTGGAAAAAAATTCCATACTCCCAGAAACACAATCTGGATTCAGAAAAGGTCACAGTTGTGCCACCGCTCTGCTTAACGTCACAGACGAAATTTTCAAAGCCACAGATTCTGGATTACTCACAATTGTGGTTTTACTGGATTACTCAAAAGCATTTGATACGCTCAATCATGATGTTTTGATATGTATACTGAAATATATAGGACTCTCTATGAATTCGGTAACCTTCTTTTCTAATTACCTCAGTGATAGGCAACAGCGAGTCATTTCAGAAGGCAGCTCATCAGACTTGAGGTCACTAACTTGTGGTGTTCCTCAGGGCTCTATACTTGGTCCCATTCTGTATATCATCTACACTGCTCTGTTCCACACTTTCGTTAATAATTGCCATTTACAAATGTATGCCGATGACACACAGGTTCTTCACTCTTTTCATCCTTCTGATATGCTGAATAGTAGTAGAATTATTAATAGTGAACTGAACACTATTTATAGAATCTCCCGTGATCATCACCTGGCTCTAAATCCCAACAAATCAACTGCTTTACTGTTCGGTAATAACAAGGCTCGGGAAATATTGAAGAAAGATATTTAGTTATCCATCAACAATGTCCCTTTGAGTTTTTCTGATGCAGCAAAAAATCTTGGAGTATGGACAGATGCCTCCCTACGATTCCATAAACATGTCTCTGAATGTATAAAGAAGTCAATCTGGAAACTGAAACTCCTATAAAGCTCACGTTCCTTATTGAACAGACATCTAAGAACTGTACTCTGTAACTCGCTAGTTTTGTCAACGTTTAACCATTGTGACACTGTTTATGGTCCATGTCTCACGGCAGTTGATGTTCATAGGATACAAAAAATACAGAATCACTGTTTGCGTTTCATCTTCAGTATAAGAAAGAGGCAACCCATTCGTCATAAGCTTACTGAAGCTGGTTGGCTAAATATGAAATCTCTTCGTAAACTTCACTGTGCCACGCTGTACCATAAAATCATTTTATCGAAACAGCCAAGTTATTCATTCAAGAAAATCAAATTTCGATCAGATGTTCATAACCTGAACATACGGTCAAAGGGTATTATAACTCCACCTATTCACAGATCGAGCATGTTTGAGAGAAGTTTTTCATATAAAGTTTCTGCCATATACAACTCCATACCGAACTATGTCAAGGACAGGTCTATCTCTACTTTTCATAAAGCCTGCAGGGAACTATATCTTCAATAAGACTGAGTCTAACTTATTATCTTGTTTTCATTTAGTAATTCAGTCATCTTGTTACATCTTTATTCTTGAAAACAAAAGTGAATAACTGGACCACTTCGATACCTACCTGTTGATATATATTCGTAATTGGTTAATATTCGAAAACCCTTGTTTAATTAGTCTAACTTATACTTAACTTTTTTTTTTTTTTCTTTGTATTACATTTCTTTTATCTTTGCCATTTTATATCATAAATTGATCATTTCATGGGTTTTCTTTTTTTGGTTAGATACTAAGACTAGATTTAAGCCTGGTTGAGTGGAAGACCATCACCTTGCTATCAGCAAGAGATGAACTTCGCCATTTCAGTATGTATTTCTTTTGTACTGAATAAAGTTTATTATTATTATTATTATTATTATTATAACTGTTCTGCAAGTGTCGCCAACAACAGGGACCTCAAGAGCCAACAAAGCCTCTCAGAAGATTTATCAGATACCTACCCAATGTCCTAATGGAGCCGCCCAGTATCAACGAGAAAGAAGTAGAACTTTAAGGAATCTGAAAGTCGTAGCCAGAGCAGCAACTTCTTCAAATGATGGAGAGTTGGTATGTGAAGACTCCACATGAGTCAATTGTTCTCCAGAGATCACCTCCATCTCGTGTTCACCAGGGACTACGAAGATCTTGTTGTGGAGCAGGAGACAAGGCCTTCAATTCAGCAGTTTCAAGAACTTCGTCACGATACCTCTTCGTATTTTGCTCAAGTTGAAAAGCTAGAGTTATAAACAACCTAGTTAGTGGTCGTTAAACAATCACTCAATATATTTGTAGTATTGAGTGTTTGGTGATAAAATCACTGTATGATGAAATATTTTTTGAAGGAGTATATTTCTAAAGGATGTATGTTCACTGTATATTACATTTTTCGAATAGAGCACCTATTGCTGACATTATCCAATTCTGAAGAGTGTATATGGAAATACATATCTATATTGTTATCTATTGTTTGTACCATTCTGCATCCAACCGTGTTTCAAATAGTGTTCCGCACGACAGTCTCGTTTTCGAGTCTCTAAGTAGTTCGCACGAGAGTCTCGTTTTATAGTCTCACATGGCCTTCTCGAGACAAGACTCGAAACGGTACTCTGGCAAGACTTGAGAGGAGTTTTCATTGGTGTTGTCTCTTCTTTGTCAGAATATTGTTTCGAATCTCGTCTCGACACGACCATGTGAGACCATGTTAGACTCTCGTGCGAATTGCTAGTTTCGACAGATTCTACGAGAAATAGAAAATGGTTCTGGATCGAGATATATTCGACAGATATACTTATCGTTTCTTATTCGAATCGTCCAAGTTTTCTTGAAAACAAAGGAGTATCATGAAATATATATCATTTTTCACTAAATACATGGAAAATATATGTTAATACCTATGAGCAGTTCGAATTATATTTGCCACCATGGATACAATCAAGAGGATCGATTTTCGACAACATTTTGAGGAAAGTTTATCTGAGAAAAAGTCCAAATGCTCATTTAATGAAGAGACAATTTTTTGTAACAATTATTCTGCTCGCTGTTGTGACTTTCGATAATCAATTTCTCCAAAAGAATAGATGAGATTCGAGACTGACACTGCTCCATGTATCCTGTATCACTCAGTACATTCACTTGGCCTGCTGAATAACGGTATAGTATTCAATGATACATAAACATTCATTCTAAAGTCGACATCTAAACTAATGAGAAGTGTTTTCGTTTGATTCTTTCAACTTGAGAAATTATATTACGGTTATTTATTGTCAGTGAATATGAATGTAAATGAAGACTTTTGACAACTGGTCATTTAAGATACAATATTCATATTCAACCAACCAATCCCCAAAAAAAGCGGACAAGAACCTGCCAAACAACTACAGGCCCATTGCCCTGTTATCAGTTATCTCCAAAGTGATGGAGAAAGCCATCAATATTGAGCTTATCAAATATCTGGAGAGCTCAGGAATCATCAATGATAGACAATACAGCTTTCGCCACCAAAGATCTACTGGAGATCTACTTGCCTACGTCACCCATTTATGACAAGCCCAGTCAGCACATCCTCTCGTATTTCAATGCCTACCTCCTGTCCCTATCCTCCCTAGGAACGCACGATGTTCTTTGAACATTATGGGAATTTTCTTTCGTGCGCTCCAAGGGATGAAAAAAATTCAAATATTTCTTCACCAAATCAAATATACATCTCCTAATCTGGTCTTCATTTTCAAGGGACATCCTAGATTGGTGCAGGCCCTCGCAAAATTATATTCGAACCTTACTGGCCAGAATATCAACCCGTATACAGAAGTCATCATAACGACTGGGGCGTACGAGGCACTTTTCTGTGCAATTATGGGGCACGTTGATAAGGACGATGAAGTCATTCTGATTGAACCCTTTTTTGATTGTTTGGAACCGATTGTGAGATATGCTGGTGGGAAACCCAGATTTCTTTCACTGAGAATGGTAAGGTGTATGTAATGTGAACTGTCTGAAATAATTTCTGCGGCATATGATTTATAATTTTCAGATTCGAAATCGATGAAGGAGAAATTGATTATTCATCAATACTTTGATTTGAAGGTAGAGTGTCTCGTTTTCCGAATAATGTTATAGGACTCGTTAGAGAGAGATATTTTCCCAGCATTACTGATACGCATGATTTTTGAAAGCTTCAGGCCTATTGAGTTTCGAACATCCTATATCTGTGTGATCATGCCCGCTACACCCAAGTGTGATAGATCAATCAAATCAATTCATTTACTAGCGATTTTCTCTAAAACGGTTAGCTAATTCAAGAAAATGCAAGAGACTGAAATATATGATTTTTTAGTGGCGAATTCAACGATGATGTTTGAATTCAATTTTTTTTGGAGGAAATTGATAATGTTTGCCATCAAATCTGTATGCAACCCTCATTCACCCCTTTCGATTCGAGTTACCTTATTTTTGAATCAAGAAATGAATAGATCGTATAAAAATACAAGTAACTGTGAATTTTCAAAATATTTGATGCATAATTGTAGCCACAATTCAAAATTCAAGATTTTTTTTGCGCATCTTGCGATGCCTGTAGCTTGGAGGGGGTGGATTTTAGGATACATGTTTATGGAAAAAAAAGTCTTATTTTGACCCCAGGAATATGTCATTAAAATATTTGTATTCAATTATGTAACACCCTGTATATATAAAGAAATACATTGAGAATTCGCATTCTCCATGTGATGAGTATATTGATTCTTCCTTGGTTTATTCAACAGAAAACAACAACTTTCCTGGCTATATGCCACGACGAATATTGAATTACATCTTTTGAACACACACGATAAGAATTCGAAAACAAAATCGTCCGAAGTAGAGAACTCGCATTCTTCTTCATATAAAGATATGCATATAGTATCATTCTGAATATTCAATAGAGAACAACTACTTTCCTGGCTATTTGCCACGTCGAACATTGAATTATATCTGTTGAATATCCAAAAAGAGAGCATGGAAAATCAAAATACTCTGAAATTGAGAATTAACATTATCTCTCAAATCAAATAGAATAATATGATGTACCATGATATTTAAATATAACTCACCAATATGTTCAGTATTGAAATGGAAATTGAAATGTATAGGAGAAGTAGGTATACATACTTGTATGAACTCTGATCTTGATGAGCTTGGAACTTAAAAAAAATCATTCATATCAGTGATATGGGGATTATATCTCTCACAAACATGTTATATGACTCAACTCGAGTAAAACTCATTTCGGATATCATATCCTCATCAGTAACCTGAAGTCCAGTTCTTCTTTCAGCCATTATTAATGATATACACAATTTTTATCTCCCTATAATATAAGTAAAACTATAACGAATTGAAATCTGAAAATTATAATTTGTTGACATTACCACTGTCATCGGGCATTCGTTTTTGGATGTATTATAAATTTATATTCATCATATAGGACGTGGAATAAAATTCTGAATTGGGAAAACCTAATCATGAATCTGCGATTGAGGTTTATGAAAATAACAAGTTTCCATCGTTCAAGTTTGAACCCCACACACTGTCACAATGTTGTGACATATTACTACCGAAGAAACAGAAGACTCTTTTCCTTCTCTTTCCTCGGTACTGCTTCTGTTAGTTTGGACCTAGTAATTCTGGTTTCATTCTTCTGACCAATGAAATATTAGGATTTCATATTTGGCGCTGAATTTTGGCAGGAAGCGACTCGTGTAGATAAGATAATTCCAGATGAGGATTCCAAGGAGGAGATTTTCGCAAGCTATCTCGATGCTTTTTCTCGGCGACCGTCATGGTGTGCACTTGAGCCAGTTTGAGCAACTTTTCTCTTCTCGGTTCAATCCGTAGAAACCCTTCGGGGTTGTTTTTTCGAAAATCATTCAATACATCCTATATTATGGCCATGGACCTGTATAGGATTTGTTCCAACTTTTCGGAGACTGCCTGATGTGCCCAGGAAGCCCTGCAGCCGACCCTTTCAGCTTATGATGATTCCAAACTAACAGTTCTTCATGCCCTCTCTCCCTCCCAGAAGGTAAGTCATTTGCACTTTTAAACTGGTGAGCAATATTTCCTCTTATATCAGTTTTTTCTGTTTTCCACGTGTCTATCAGGAGGTTATATCAACCTGTTAATTCTTCAACAGGGAGCTAGGGTATGGCTTATCTGTCCTTGGTTTCTAGAAACGAAAAGCTTGGCGGTTAATATCTCGACCTTGGTCATGATTCCCACAAGGACCAGATCGCTCATTTCATCCTGATCAGAGTCGACAGGTGGCCCAGGTCGAGCTTACTAGTAATTGATCAAGCTGACCGGCTGAGCCACACCACTGAGCCTTACTGTGGATTGTGGAGGTCCAACAACTTCTTCGTTCGTCTTCGTTCCTGTCTTTGTCTTTTTTTTCAGATGCCTATACACCATATTTAACATGATTGTATGAAGCTCTTATGAAGCTCTTCCATAGCGGTTTCAGGTTTTTCCACAGATTATTGTCATATCAATTCTTTTGAATATTTATAGATCCCATTTTATAGTTGGAATATGATGATTGCTATATATGAACGCTAGTCATATAAATAGGTGGTAATTATCATGGTGCAGGTTGACAAATTTTTATAAACCATACATCATTTTGATTCCACTAGAAGCAGTCATATTTTATGGTTATAATATTTCATGGTTATGATATTTCATGATCATGTTACTTTGAGATATTTCATGATAACATATGATACATATTCTGATAGTCTGGTCCCTACACTGATCTACTTAAACCTTGTCAATTATGGGGGAAATGCATAGGTCTGAAACTTGATATGGTTTTATCCATCTACTTGTGTTAGCACTGCCATATAAGAAGGTATTTTCGTATTTCTATTTCAGGATAAGGTTTTGGAAAACATTGTAAGTATCTGTCCACCTAATTGGTATTCTCAATTATCCAAGTATCAGTAATTGTTTTGTAAATTGAGTGGCGCCCTCTGAACTTGAAATTTAACTATCTGCAATCACAACGAATCTATTATCTGTTCTCTGGCGGTTATATAACAAATATGAAAAAAGTAGGCCACATAAATAGCATCCAACGTGTTGTTTAAAATTTCAAGATCATAATAAATTCAAAATTTTCTGATTCATCTTCTTAAATTGTGAGTGTTGAGCATTCAGATGAGTAAAAGCACTTCTATCGGGTCGGTTCCACAGGAAAAATGGACTTTGTCACACTGGTGAGCACAGTGGTGAGCGTAGTACTGTTGACAAATTTGGGTGTTATTTGCAATTTTGAATTTTATCTCCAACGAAGTCGTTCATAAAATTTCAATTCTGACTAATATTTTTTGGTAACATTTTTGACAGATATTTTCCAGTGAAATTATTTTTCATTTCTTTGTGTCTGTCAGTACTTCGATATTTTTATTTGTTCTCTGTGTTCTTGTTCAGATTAGTTTACATGGATTCATTTGAGGCAAAACATTCGCTCATAATGGAACTCAATTATGAATTGAGGATAAGAGGTGTTATTCCTGAACGTAGCATGAATAAAAAGAGAAAAATTTTGGGACGTCTGCTTGCTAAAGAATCACAACAAGGACTAAATGTACTTACTTTTATTGACCTTTCATTCATTTATGCATCAGAGAAAGTTGAAATAGAAAGCACTTCGAGGGATCTTCTACCGATTCTAATTTCAAGAGGCCACTATCAAGAATATGCTATATAACTTTCAGAATTCAGAGAATACCCTCAGACGCAGATGATCCAAATTTCGCAAAAAAGGCTTTTTTTTTAAAATGAAGCCCATGCAACAGCATTACAACTAGATGCAGAATTGCATAATAAAGTTTCTGATCCAGAGCCTGACCCAGTCAATGCACCTTCAGCAAGTACCAGTAACAATTATTCTTCATAAGGTTCAATGAAATCAACCCCTGTTCACAAACTAGGAATTCAATTTGATGGCGATTCAAGGAACCTTTTATCGTTCATAGAACAAGTTGATGAACTTGCACAAGCAATACACATTCCAAAAAATAGATTATTCGAATCTGCAAGTGATCTTTTCACTGGGATAGCAACTTTCTGATATGGTCTCTGGTAGAAGGTCATGGTTTCTCAATGTGGAGTCAAGTATTGAATACTAACTGATACACGAAGTCATCTCCACGACATTTAATGTGATTAACACATCAGAATTGGTTGGTACATGTTTCGGATATATATATGTCCATCATCAGCCTTATGAGAAAAAGCATAAATAGTGTCCTGAAATTATAATGGTTATTTAGTACAATTGACAAGTTATGAAAAGGAGTGCTCACATGGGGATGAAAAAAAGGTTATGTGACCAACTTTAAAATTTCAAAATTTCCTTTGTTTGGGTTTTAAGGAAATTATTATCAAAAGAGAAAACCCAACAAACCCCTGGAAATTACCATACAATGTTTTCTGTAATGACCATCAAATGGCACATATGTATGCGACATTGGAAATGGAAACGTGTCCATCTTGCCCTGCACCAGCACACGACGGACATCACCTGACCAGGCGGAAAGAACCACGGCATGTGTCACACGTCACAAGTCAATAAAAAAGACAAGTGGCACGAGACAACATGGTAGTGACTGTCCACCCAGCGGTGACATATGCCATGAGGTTAGGTTAAAACTCAAAAATTCAATGGAAAAATCGAAGACCAAGGCAGGAGAAAATTCCATAATTTTTATTATCATTTCATTTTGTGAAATGTAGAGAGTTGAAAAATTCCAGACTATAATAGTGGGTTTGTTCATTCAGTGAAATGACATTGTTGTTATTCAAAGAATTGTTGATTTCAAAAATCTCTAATAACAGAATCGATAATTTATCTTTCGAGCAGCCTGTGAAATTTCCAGATCTGTCTGACTGTTGAAAGAGTGGTTGAAGTTGAGAATATGATTGGCAAAAGAAC